GACACCAAGTCTTATGCTAACATCAGGTGGCACATTTTTTGTTTTTGTGTTACAGATATCCAGTTGTACCACAGTGAGACTCTAGAGCTGATGCTGCGTCGGTGGTCTAAACTCGAGAAGGATTTCAAGATGAAGAACGGCCGATACAACATCAGCAAGATCCCTGATATCTATGACTGCATCAAATATGACGTGCAGCACAACAGCTTATTAAAGCTGGACAACACTATGGAAATTTACCGGCTGTCCAAAGCACTGGCTGACATCGTCATCCCACAGGTGACCGTTTTTAATAAATTAATTATGAGAGCTTGTATGAATTTATGTGTCACAATTTGTTGATTGTCTTAATAAAATATTTTTTGGTAATTGTCCTTATTTGCTCTTGTCAGGAATATGGTATTTCTCAAGCTGAGAAACTGGACATAGCCAAAGGTTACTGTACACCTCTTATTCGCAAGATCCGCTCTGACCTACAGAGGACGCAAGACGATGACACTGTTAATAAACTGCATCCAGTGTAAGACATCGCCTTTTTCACTCCTCATGGTAGTCGATGTTAGCAGACTTGGCAGTTTACACTGAAATCTTAAAGGGGGTCATATGATGCTATTTTAAAGATCATTATTTGGTGTAACAGAATATGTAACAGAATATGTTGACATGCTTTAATGTTGAGCACCAAAACCAAGCCTTTCATTCATATGGTTAAGCACAGGGTGGAAAATGGTCAGATATTACCAAATGATTTCTGTTTTTGGTGCCTAATATTGTATCGTAAGTTGACCCCAGAGAGATATATAAAAAAAATGTAGGGTCATGATGACCCCTTAAATGCATTAATATTTCATTGTAAATATGTCAGGTTTTGGGTGAAATCAAAAGGCTTTCTGGGTTGATTGTTCTGTCCGCAGATATTCCAGAGGAGTCATGTCTCCAGAACGCCATGTGCGGACCAGACTTTACTTCACCAGTGAGAGTCACGTTCACTCGCTGCTGTCTGTCTTGCGCTATGGAGCCCTCTGTGATGTATGCCCTGATTAATATCATCTTTTAAAGCTTTAAAGTGCATTGAAATATCCTGGCTGTTGTTTTGCTGTTCTGAGTTCTACTTGAAGGAATTAGTTTGGCTGTATCCTCAGGAGGCCAAAGATGAGCAGTGGAAGAGAGCCATGGACTACCTCAAAATAGTCAGCGAGCTGAACTATATGACGCAGATAGTCATCATGCTCTATGAAGACCCAAACAAGGTGCCAGCATGTCGGCACACATACAGTGCTTTTACATAACACAGATCAGGGGTGAAATGCTTAGAAACAACGTTTGTCTTGATATCCAAGAAATGTATGAAATGGTTTTGCTGCTGTAATTCTGCACATGCAAGATCATATTTCGAGCTTGCAAAACTTAAGTTAACTTTTAAAATGAATGTACTTGTGTTGTAATTTTAGAAAGTATTTCTAAGGAAGCTTTAGGTAAACTTTCATAAATAAATATACTAAGACACATAGTCTTAGTATATTTATGAAAGTGTACCTAAAACTTAATGATAGCTTAATAAGTATAGCTTAATTATTTACACAATTTCAAGAAAATAAACAAAATGGAAATAAGCACATTTGTGACCCTGGAGCACAAAAGCAGTCTTAAGTCGCTGGGGTATATTTGTAGCAATAGCCAACAATACATTGTATGGGTCAAAATGATTGATTTTTCTTTTATGCCAAAAATCATTAGGATATTAAGTAAAGATCATGTTCCATGAAGATATTTTGTAAATTTCCTACTGTAAATATATTAAAACTTAGTTTTTGATTAGTAATATGCATTGCTAAGAACTTTAGACAACTTTAAAGGTGATTTTCTCAATATTTAGATTTTTTTGCACCCTCAGATTCCAGATTTTCATATAGTTGTATCTCAGACAAATATTGTCCTATCAAACCATACATCAATGGAAAGCTTATTTATTCAGCTTTCACATGATGTATAAATCTCAATTTCGAAAAATTGACCCTTATGACTGGTTTTGTGGTCCAGGGTCACATTTGTCTTGAGGCATGCATTTTTGTCACACAGAGGGTCTTTCTACACTACCATCTTCAATAAACTCTTTTGCCTTAGAAGTACTTTATTTTATGTATTAGAAGAAATCTAATTTGTTGGAAGCCACTCAACAACTGGTTAATCTACACAAGAGACTCTAACAATTAATTGTGGAAAAAGAAAGTTAACTTCATATTTGATCAAATATACTGTATATTGAGACAGAAGACAGACGTGTGACCCTGTTAATAGCGTGTTGATGAGGGGTTTGGATTTGTAGGATCCTTCGTCAGAGGACCGTTTCCATGTGGAGCTTCATTTCAGTCCAGGAGCTAAAGGCTGTGAAGAAGATAAAAACCTGCCATCTGGATTTGGATATAGACCAGCATCCAGAGAGGTTAGCAATGACTAATGGCGTGCGTGTGTGTGTGTGTGTGTGTGTGTGTGTGTGTTTGTGTGTGTGTGTGTGTTTTTCTGCATATTTCATTTCTTCTTCCTGGGGTTAACAGGAACATGGTGATTTAAAAAAAGATTCCATCGCAATTAAGAGTTGCTATTTACAGTATATTATTTTGAATGTTTTCATATGCAGTATTTCTAAGTTGTATGATTTTGTTTTAATCTGAAATTGTCAAATGCACTTAAAGGGTTAGTTCACCCAAAAATGAAAATTCTGTCATTAATTACTCACCCTCATGTCATTCACAAATGAAGATATTTTTGATGAAATCCGAGAGCTTTCTGACCCTCCATAGACAGCAATACAACTGAAACATTCCCAGAAAGGTAGTAAGGACATCGTTAAAATAGTCCATGTGACAGCAGTGCTTCAACCGTAATGTTATGAAGTTATGAGTACTTTTTTTGCACAAAGAAAAATTACGACTTTATTCAACAATTCTTCTCTTCCTTGTCAGCGTCCGCCACCTTTCACGAGTGTAACATGACATATGCGTGTGCATTCCTCTGCTTGTAAACAAGGTCATTTTTGTTTTCTTTGCATAACATTACAGTTGAAGCACTGCTGTCACATGGACTATTTTAACATGCGTGTTCTACATCAGCAGGTTCACACGCATGCATCATGGTACTCTCGTGAATGGCGGCAGATGCCAAATAACATTACTGCTGTCACATGGACTATTTTAACGATGTCCTTGCTGCCTTTCTGGGCCTTGAATGTTTCAGTTGTATTGCTGTCTATGGAGGGTCAGAAAGCTCTCGGATTTCATCAAAAATATCTTCATTTGTGTTCTGAAGATGAATGAAGGTCTTACAGGTTTGGAACGACACGAGGGTGAGTAATTAATGACAGAATTTTAATTTTTGGGCGAACTATCCCTTTAAAGGGTTAGTTCCAGTGTTGGGGGTAACGCATTACAAGTAACGCAAGTTACGTAATCAGATTACTTTTTTCAAGTAACTAGTAAAGTAACGCATTACTTTTTAATTTATAAGAGAATATCGGAGTTACTTTTTCAAATAAGTAACGCAAGTGACTTTTTTTTTTTTCAATTTATTGATTGACAGCTCTCCTGTCCCCATGTTGAGAGAAATCAGAAGATGTTACTGTAGTTCTAAAATAAATATGAATATGCATTAATTCATCTCACTCACAAAAAAAACAAAACACAGATTCAGTATTCCTCAAAATGAATAAAAATAATGCAACTCAGAATATGACGCAAACCTGCAATAATTAAATGTTAAACAACACAAATATCCTTTATGTATTTAATCCCATTCTATTTTCCTTTGCTAAAGTAAGGAAACTTTGCTTCCTTTGCTCCTGTAAACAAACGTTGGTTTTCACGAAACTCACACTGCATGCGCAACGCTGAACTCATACGTCATCCGCCCAGAGCTGCTTCCGTGTACAACTGTGAGCGCAAGCTAGATTAAAGTGATTATTATGTTTTGAATATGGATATTTTTCTTACAAAAACGCATCGATTCGCTACAGGAGAACTTTGTTCACCCCCTGGAGCCGTGTGAGACTTTTTTTTTATGGATGGGCGCTTTTTATTTAACTTCTTCTGGACTGATGCATGCAACACCCGCTGACTGCAATGATAGAGTTTGGAATAGCCAGGACAATTTTTAATATAACTCCGACTGGATTCGTCTGAAAGAAGAAAGTAATATACACCTAGGATGGCTCTGGGGTGAGTAAAACACAGCCTAATTTTCATTTTTGGGTGAACTAACCCTTTAAATGTTGAATGTGTCTCAGAATGAAGGCTCCAAGAAGAAACCCCATAATGACAATGATGAGGAGGCTGGTGGTGCTAAACGTGACGAGCCGGATCGAGCTCATATGATGTTCCGCCCCATGGTGTCCGATCCCATCTACATCCACAGGAAGTCCCCTCTTCCCCGCTCCAAAAAGATCGGCTCTGTGGAAGTAAGTTCTTACACAGTATGTTGTCTCTAAACACCTTTGTTAAATGAATCAAATTAAGTCATTCACAGTTAATTACTATTCTTCTCTGATAATAGTGTTGAACATTCTTTTACATATATGTACAAATATAGATGCTGCATATGTGTATTCTGCACAAATAGAGTCTGAGCTTTTGACAGGGACAGTCATGAATTTAGGAGTTAAGGCTTATTTACATAGACTTCACATTTTTACAGCAAATTTAAATGAAAGCATGCTCGCTATGTAGTGCAAGTCTGACAGCATAGGTAGGTGTGTGTGTGTATATTTGTATATATCTTTTTTTTTAATGAATGAAAGAATGAAGCTTCATTAGAGACATGCTGCACAGACTCAGTTACCAAGTATGCCAGACTATTTTAAATAATACTAATTAAAATATTACTTTTAAGAAATGTAGTAACACTTTACAGTGATGTTTCAGTAGTTAACATTGGTTAATGCACTAGCTAACAGGAACTAACAATGAGCCATATATTTTTTGTAGTAGTACAGGTGTAAAGAATAATACAGGTAAAAAATACAGGTGTTCATTGTTTTTTCATGTTAGTTCATAGTGCAGTTACTAATGTTAACAGATACAACTTTTGATTTTAAAAATGTATTAGTTAAAATTGAAATTAATATTAATTCTATAAAAGTATTGTTAATTGTTAGTTCATATTAACTAATGTTAACAACTAAGACCTTATTGTAAATGAGCACATTCATATGATCAAATTTGTTTGTATACAAAACTGATTTCAAGCATTTAAGCATAAGCTTTTAAATTAAAAGGTTTTTGCGATCACAAAAAACAAATTCACTGTTTCCAAACTTTTCACCGGTAGTGAATGTGCTGTGCGTAGCTAGAATCATATTTTTTTAAAAACATCTTTTTCCATTGCTGTGACATTCACATTATGCATTGTTATGAACAAGTGCTTGCAGTTTTCATCAATTTCAACACTATCTCTATTAATGCGAATATGCTTTTACATGGCCTTAACTTTTAATATGCCAAAGCCTTCTTTTCACTTTCAATTCTTTCCATTTGGATTTTGTTTTTATTTTGGTTTCTTCAGTTTTTTTCATGCATTTAATTTTAAAGTATCTACAATTACTCAAAATGGGAGCAAAATAGCACATTGTTGCTCTGGGTATGTTGTAAAATTATAGAATTACATATTGCATTATAGTTTAAAATATAATAACAGTGATGATTTTGTCCTTAAACTTTACAAACTGTAATTTTCATGATTTTTTTTTATAGCTCCATATCACTCAAAGTTACAGTGAAATCCACTGTACAGTGAAATCCACAAAAAGATGATTGTTTTCTTTTTTAGGTTTGTTAGTTTAGCCCCCCCCCCAAAAAATCATCAAATGTATGATTCTACTACATTTTCCTTTAATGCCCATCTATAATTTATTACACTGAATAACCAAATAATCAGAGCCCTTGCTTCTGTAATAATGGGAAAATAATTTAGAACGGTCATTATACCATGGTCTGTCTGAATACTCTAATCTGATTGGCTGGAATGTTAGAACAGTAGTTCCAGTCATTTTAATCACCGTTCTAAATTAATGCACTGCCTTCAGTGAAGCACAGGGACACGGACAGTCACTCACGCACACAGAAGCATTCAGGAGCTATGACTTAAATGTAAGTCTGTCTCATGCTGTTCCAAACCTTTTGAACACAAATTATATTAAAAAAAAAAAAGAATATCAATAAAAGTAATAGTTCGCCCTAAAATTGAAACGCATCTTGTTCTCATTCTATGACATGTTGGAATTATTGTACAGTGTGACATGAAAATTAAAACATCCTGCTATATTAATGTCACACGATATTGTTTCAAGCATTCAGTTTTCATTCAGCTCAGCTAGCAGGCTTGTAGCGTCTATGTAATACCTTGGGCGCAAAAGCATGTCTTTCATATTTCAGTTCAAAGCTTTTCTCACCCACAAATGTGTATTATTTGAAAAACTGCCACCGTCTCTTATTTGTTTTCTTTTTTTAGTCCCCATTGCAGAAAGACTTTCTCAAGACGCCTGCTGGCAAAGTATGCGCACACTTAGCTGTGTTTGTCTTCTGTTGAGCCAAAGGACTTGGTAGTGAATGTTGGTGGACTCGACACCGGACTGTTGTTAACGTTGCATGACTGTGCTGTTTCTGCCCCCCTGTCTCACTTCCAGGAAGAGAGCCCCCTGAGTGTGTCTAGCCCTGACTCTATAGGTACCTGGATTCATTACACCTGTGGTGTGGGTACTGGGCGTCGAAGACGCAGATCAGGGGACCAAATAACTTCCTCCCCAGTCTCCCCCAAATCACTGGCTTTCACATCCAGTATTTTTGGCTCATGGCAACAGGTTTTTACCAATTTAATCAATTCTTCACACCAACCACTAACGTATTGTTCATTCACACTCGAGATCTTGGAGGCGGTCAGCAAGGACACCTAATAAGCAGATGAATTAAAAGAGAGCACTATTACCTCATTCATCATGTGTGTTTGTTGATATTTAATGCACTGGTTTGTGTTCTGGAAAGTCAGCGTTTCAGTTAGTTTTACCAATTTTGGTCTAGTTACAATGTTTTTAAAGAAGATGATCTTCATGTTCCACATAAATCATGTTTTTGTGCTAAACTAACTTCTTTCAAATATCTCCATTGACTGTGATTACTACTAAATTTGGTAGTTCCTTATTTAGACAAAAATATCCATGAATGTCACAACACTGAACACCCAGGCTTTGTTTTTACAGACCAATGGTTTCTGTTTTGAAATTTGCCAAAAAAAAATAAAAATAATAATAATAAAAATAAATAAAATATATATATATATATATTTTTTTTAGATATTGTTATAGGCTGTTCAGTCTTTGTATCGGCATTCTTGCCAATAGTTAATTGTTGATAAATAGTTCATTACATTTAGTATTAGTGTATCCTGATGGATAAACTCAAGTCTTGCCCCACACTTTTTTTTCTTGTTGAATGTCCTCAGAAATACATAATTTTAAGAAAGTAAAATGGGTTGCAAATGCCATTTCAGGTTGATGTTATAATCTGTTTTAAATGAATTTTTACAAAATGTGTGAGTTATGTATACTAATATTACTATTATTATTTATGAGACTGAATTGAATCTAACCTGAATGTCATAGCATGTAGAAAAAAATATAGATTTGTATGTATTACAATTACTTTTTTGTTATGAAAAAAAGATACGTTTGGTCTTTGCTGCTCCTTCAGACCATAAACTAAAAATCTCATTTTAACTTTGCGGTATTTTATTGTTCTCTCTTCACCGATCTGCTGTCTTTTATCCATGTTTAGTCTGCTAACTCAACTCTTTTCATTCATCTGCTGTGCCATTAGCTGTCCTTTGCATCCTGCTCCATCTCAGTGACAACTTGATGTGACCTGTGGCCTGCTGTGGGATATGTGTTACTGATATCATGTATGCATCGGGTGGATTGTGCCTGTCACTCATCTCTTCCAGGACAGAAGTTTGCTTCTGCTTTGGCACCTTTTAATATTCATTGGTCCCTGTCCTCAGCCAGATCTTCATTTCTTGTTTTCACAGTTCATTAGGAAGCTCTTAGCAAGAGTATAAATCAAAGACGTTTTTATGGTGGTTAACCATTTAGTGAGCATCACTGTTTTTTATGTTTTACAATAATTATAACCCACATGTTATAATTATGCTTGTGTCTTTGTTTTGCAAGATATTACTGCTTGGTTGGGTTGTTCCATGTCAGTTTTCCTGTCATTTTTACACAACATTAGATAACACTTTATTTTAAGGTGTCCTTGTTACACGTTACATGTACTTACTATTATAATAACAATTAATTATGCATAATTACATGCAAGTAACCCCAATCCAAATCCTAATCCTAACCCTAACCATATAGTAAGTACATGTAGTTAATTACTATTATATGTATAATTACACTGTAACAAAGACACCTTAAAATAAAGTGCAACCCAACATTATAAGAAAGTGGGAACCTCGGTCAAGTACTTACACAGTTGAAGATGTGGCACAGATTAACTTAAGTTTTCAACTAAATATAGTGGCCCCGAAAAGAATTTAGACACTTTAGTCACATTTAAAAATGTCTTTGTTATTTAAGAAAAAGAAATATCAAAGTACATTTCAGTCACTTGAAACGGTGTGCTTTTTTAGTAGATCTACAATCAGTTCTCCTCAAGAGTCTTATGAGAGTAACTGTAGATAGTTCAGCACTTGAACTGTAGACAACCAGAAAAAATTACATACAATATTTTTTTGTGAGGTGTGTTATCTTGTAAACGAAATCTTTCAGATAGATTGAAACTGCTTTGACATTATGACATTGGCTTTGACTTTTATGACATTAAGACAGCTTGTATGTGTGCCTTGAGTGTATTCTTGTTGCCACTGTCTTCACTGACAATCCTTTTAGTTGAGAACTTGGCTGAATCTGTGACTTGATCTGCCAGGGTTTATGGGAAACCAAGACTGATGTAGGCCTCAGGTAAAACCTGTTCAGACATGAAGGATGGCATAGAGACCTCGGAGCTGTTTATTGTCCAGTAACCCTCTTCCTGTGCCAAGAATAACCTCTTTTTTCCCACCAAAGTAGATAGTTTTGCATGAAACTGAAATGAAGTTTGCTTCTGCTTTGGCACCTTTTAATATTCATTGGTCCCTGTCCTCAGCCAGATCTTCATTTCTTGTTTTCACAGTTCATTAGGAAGCTCTTAGCAAGAGTATAAATCAAAGACGTTTTTATGGTGGTTAACCATTTAGTGAGCATCACTGTTTTTTATGTTTTACAATAATTATAACCCACATGTTATAATTATGCTTGTGTCTTTGTTTTGCAAGATATTACTGCTTGGTTGGGTTGTTCCATGTCAGTTTTCCTGTCATTTTTACACAACATTAGATAACACTTTATTTTAAGGTGTCCTTGTTACACGTTACATGTACTTACTATTATAATAACAATTAATTATGCATAATTACATGCAAGTAACCCCAATCCAAATCCTAATCCTAACCCTAACCATATAGTAAGTACATGTAGTTAATTACTATTATATGTATAATTACACTGTAACAAAGACACCTTAAAATAAAGTGCAACCCAACATTATAAGAAAGTGGGAACCTCGGTCAAGTACTTACACAGTTGAAGATGTGGCACAGATTAACTTAAGTTTTCAACTAAATATAGTGGCCCCGAAAAGAATTTAGACACTTTAGTCACATTTAAAAATGTCTTTGTTATTTAAGAAAAAGAAATATCAAAGTACATTTCAGTCACTTGAAACGGTGTGCTTTTTTAGTAGATCTACAATCAGTTCTCCTCAAGAGTCTTATGAGAGTAACTGTAGATAGTTCAGCACTTGAACTGTAGACAACCAGAAAAAATTACATACAATATTTTTTTGTGAGGTGTGTTATCTTGTAAACGAAATCTTTCAGATAGATTGAAACTGCTTTGACATTATGACATTGGCTTTGACTTTTATGACATTAAGACAGCTTGTATGTGTGCCTTGAGTGTATTCTTGTTGCCACTGTCTTCACTGACAATCCTTTTAGTTGAGAACTTGGCTGAATCTGTGACTTGATCTGCCAGGGTTTATGGGAAACCAAGACTGATGTAGGCCTCAGGTAAAACCTGTTCAGACATGAAGGATGGCATAGAGACCTCGGAGCTGTTTATTGTCCAGTAACCCTCTTCCTGTGCCAAGAATAACCTCTTTTTTCCCACCAAAGTAGATAGTTTTGCATGAAACTGAAATGAACATTTTTAACAGAAAAATAACCGGGCTGTTCCCTGCTCTGTTGGGTTTTACATGAATGCGAATGCATATGAAATATGATTTGTTCAGTAATACTCTATAAACTGTTGCCATGTTTGAATGCATACCCTTCTGCATTCCTGATCTCATTTCCTGTTTCTGATATGGAATGGAGTCTGTGTAGCAATGCTAAACGCATGGTCCATTTCTGTTCCTTCATGCGTTTTTTTTTTTTTTTTGTGTACTCACATATTTACAGTGCTGCTTATTAACATCTGTCTGTCTGGAATATACCTACTTGATGAATAAAGGTTGACGTTTTGTTAAGCAGTTATCGTTGTCTGCCTGTGCTCTTTCAGGTTCTGTCAGAGAACAACAGCCACAGCAGACCCAGCAGACTGCACCCGGATCTCAAGCTCACACCTGGAATAGGTAAGATGTTCACTCACGGATGTCACATGTTATAAAGTCCTGAAAGTTGTTGGGTGTTTATTATGGAGGAGCTCTGACATACTGGTTGTACATGTCCAAATAATGTTTTGCCGTTCCATTTCTAATCTTCAACACAAATGTTGTGTGTGATGTTGGTGTGGCTGCTCTCTCTTGATTCTTTCAAACTTAATGACCAATTAATTTGAGTCTGAATTGGAACTGAATGTGTAATACTATCTGTGAGCTTTGCTCTGAAACACACTGCTCTAAGATTTTTGCCACACAGCTGACTAATACAGTGCTGACTCTCATATATGCTTGTAATGTCCTTTGTGTGTTTGTAGGCCGTATATATACACAAACATGGTTTGAAGCATATGCTTTTTCCTTACTGTGTATTATACATATTTGTAGAAGGATAGGTGACATGAAATACAATTGGATGTCCTGCGGTGTGACATGCTATACTCTGTGTATTTCTATTCTTTAGAATAGAAATTAATTGTATTATTTTTGTATTCATAAAAAAAAAATAATTTGTCATACTGCAGGACAGTTCAAAAGCAGTGAAGACAAAAGGTGCTTAAAATGGTGACTATTTACTGGATCTAAGATGCTTTGCTTTATATATTCAGTTTGCTTTATATATTCATATACATTTAAAACAGAAATGTGGATGTTGTTTGGGGAGGGAAAGTAGCTCATGGACATGTTACCAAGAAAGAAAGTCTTTTGTGTGTCAGTCCTCACAAAGTTGGTGAAAATCTTTCAAGCAACTGAGAGCTTGTGTGATTTAGTTTTTACTTTGTGATGTGACATACCAAAGGATTTTTCATATTTTACTATTCACAGCATGAGTGACACTACAAAGGGGTGAACATTTGCATAAATACTATAAACATTGCCACCTGAGAACGTTTTTATTTATTTTATTTTTTTGGCAGCTGTAAAAAAAAAAAAATGTGTGTACCTAAAAGCAAAATACATTCTGGTCTTTCACAGCAAAATGTTTTCTGTCAATACAGGTTAATTAGATTCAATACAGATTAATACTAATTGTTAAAATGCAACTATATGACACTTATGGAATGGAATGATGAAATATGTGACCCTGGAGCACAGAAGCAGTCTTAAGTCGCTGGGGTATATTTGTAGCAATAGCCAAAAATACATTGTATGGGTCAAAATTATCGATTTTTCTTTTATGCCAAAAATCATTAGGATATTAAGGAAAGATCATGTTCCATGAAGATATTTTGTAAATTTCCTACAGTAAATATCAAAACTAAATTTTTGATTAGTAATATGCATTGCTAAGAACTATATATCACAGAATAATCATGATAATTGTTCTCTACATTGGGTAATGCAGTAATAATTACAGCAGTTGTAGTAAATAAGGAGGGGTATAGTGTATTACACATTCATTTTGTCAGTAATTGCTCGATATGTCACATCATGTGACCCTAAAGCCTTATAGGTCGATGAGTGTTATTAATTTTTTCCTCTAGAAGTGAGGACCTCTGAAGATCAGTTTGCCTTACTAGGTTGCCATGACAAAAGACATTACTGTCATTATGGGATGCTTTCAGTGAGGCTGCACTACTCATTCTGTGGCAAGAATCTTCTAGAAAAGCATGCTGCATGCATTGCGAGGCGTGTCTCTTGGAGCACCCGATTGCTGTATGTATCTTCTCTAACTCCCATCAGGGTCTCATTGCGCTGGCTTGTTTAGCACCATGGTGCTGGGTGGCTCCTCCAGTGCACCTAACCTACAAGATTACGCTCACGCACACCGTAAAAACCTGACCTCCTCTGGCTTCTTAGATGGTATGTGCAAACACGCACACACACCTTCTAATGGTGAATCCCTGTCCCTGTTTTTAAGTAATTCTGGAGTCTTATCTGTGTTTTCAGTGTGAAGCTACTGGGTCGTTCTCAACTGGTTGCATTGACACAAGTCATCATTTGTTGTTGTGTAGTGGCACACACTGGCTGTCTGGCCTGAGAGATCTATGTTACAAAAACCTCAGGATCTTTTTTGGATCCTGCACCTCATATGCTTTGCAAGAAATTTATGCTATGATCTATACATAGTGTAAGCTTCATGAACAACTTGTTGTTATAATAACATAATAAGCTGTTATCTATAATACCTCAAAAAAAAAAAAACGTTACAGTTCCTTTTAATTTAATCAATTCTGTGTGTAGTCTATGTCCCATCCTGTGTAACACAAGCTGTACAGTATGTGAAATTCATCTTGAGAGTCCGTCTCGCCAGAATCTCTGCAGTGTTTGTAAAGTAATGTTACCCTAGTAAAGCTATACCCTATTTTCTACACTGCAAACAGCATGTTTTGGTAGTCAGTCTATAAAACTTCATGTATGGATACCAAGAAACTTCCCTTTAGTTTTCATAGCATTCCCTACAGCAGCTTATATACCTTAGTATTTTCATGTAACTTCAATTATTTAAGAGTAACTGAATAACAAACAATTCATTTGAGTTCACATAAAAGCTATATATATCTTAATATAAAAAGCCATAAGCTCTATTCAGATACACTGGGTAGTAAAAATGTAACTAAGTTCAACCACTAAAATTAGAAATGAATGAATGAATGAATATTATTTTACTCATCCTCATTTCACTCCAACTCATAGTTCATATTCGCAACAAGCAATTTTTTTAATGAATCCTGAGATATTTCTGAACCTGCGTTGAAGGCCATGCAACCAAAACTTTGATTTACGTTGACTCTGAAATATGGAAAAACATGGTAAATGTAATCCAAACGAATCAAGCAGTTTAATTCACGTCTTACGCTTTATATGATGAACAGATTTAATTTAGACTTTAACTTACAGTCAGAATTTGGTGACATTAACTAGTAAATTTCAATTTTTTTGGTTTTAATTCATTACAGTGCAAACAAGGCAGTTTTATGTAATTTGTTGATGTGTCTGTTGTTGATACTCCAAAATGACTGGATTATCATCATCAGTACACTATGGTAGTGTTCTGGGTTTACTGTATTTCCCTTCTCCACACCTGCACCATCTCTGAATACAGACTTGACACAAACATCTTATGAGTAAGGCAAGAATGGTTTGAACAGATTTATGTATGGATATTTTGTTAACATTGAAAAACAGTTAGTTGAGCTTTTTTGGTAACATTGATTTCTCTTATACAATTCTATTTCTTTTAATAATAAACTTGCCTGAATGGGGCAGACAGGTCAGCATTGTGCACAATATCTGGATCAGTGAAAGAAAGCAGTCAGTTTCTTCCTATCCAAGAGGCTAGTTTCTGTTGTTAACATGCCCAGTCAGACATTTCATCTTTCTGTGAAAAGCCAAAAACCTCATTTTAGTCACTAGTTGCAGTGTCAGTGATAGAAACCGTTCAGTGGGAAGCTTTTTAGTGCAGCTATAATAATGCAACAAGTGACTTTAAATCATTCTAACTTTGTAGCTTGACTACTGTTATTTGAGGAGAAATTGAACTCAACATACCTTTTATGTCCTGATTGTGTGTTTTTTTTTAAATGTGAAATGTGGGAAAATGATTTTGTGTAAATCTGAGATTCCATGGCTAATTAGTGTTGTGAATCAAGACTGTTGTAGATGTGTTCATGGAGCAGCAGTGCTGTTGTGGATCAGAAAAGAAAGCATAGCGAGAATATCACTTTAACCTTAGAATGCATGAAAACCTGAAAAACCTACATGAATGCATAATGGGGGCTGTTTTGGATTAAGTGGATTTTTTTCTTGAATCCTGTTTTTATTTTTCAGTGTAATTAAATCATTTAAGAATCTGATTATACACAAAAGCATAAATATTTAGTGATAATGTTCAGTTGTTCATTTCCTATATACCATACCAAAAATACAGTTCAGCATAATTAGTTGTAGCAAACATGCATTTATGTGAGATATTCATTTACTAGCAACTTTAGCAGATTATATAACGGATCCTTGCAGATGCGGCGGCCATCTTCACACAAGACACTGAAATTATTTGAAAACTCCTCGGGGCTCAGTCACAAGTTATCTTGACACATCATGATGCATCACATCTTTCCAAAAATATTGCTAGCAGGACCTCAATCAAATACATTTCCAATGCATAAATCAGTGTTGATCAGTCTGCAGGTGTATACATTGATTACTCCTCTGTGTGCCAATGTCGGCCGACCCCTGAATCATGTACGCATTTATTTATATCCATTTGTGTAAGAAAGTATGTGGAGGTTTAGTTTCAGCCACTTCTGCTGCAGGGCCAGTAGATAGCCATGCTGAACCTAGAGAGTCACGATGGGTGAAATGGGGTCGTCTTTATCATATGGCACTGGGTGTTTGTGTGTGTTAATCCAAGATCCAATGGCAGTGTAACAAACCCTTCACCGTGGCGGTCAGAGAGGGGCCCTGCCATAATATCGAGGGCCTAATGTAATTGTAGCGAATCAGCTCATAAGGGAAATATGAATAATTAATCATAACTAGTTATAATTAATTATAAATATTTAGATCCGCTGTAGATATTTACTTGACCTCTCAGGGTCAACTGTCTGTCAATTCTAAGAACGTTAATTTCCTGGTTAAGGGAAATAACTTTCTTACTGTACAATTCTACAAAGAGCTTGTAACATAAATCTGCATGATTAAGTGACTCCAGTTATGAGCAAACAATGAACAATGTCAAGTGTGATACAAGTAAGACTTTATTAACCACATAAACACTTAAACTAGTCTAACATACTACATAAACACTTAAACTGGTCTAACATACACATACACACACACACACACATACAGTTGGTATAGGAAAGGGT